AATATATATTATATATATGTATATATATATATATATATGTATATGTATAATAAATATTCGCCGCAGCGCCCATGTTTCATGCGATATGAATAATAATCTAATCCGAGATAACTACGGGGGTTTATTTTTTCTTATAATATATATTTTTTTTTTTTCTTTCGAAAAGGGGGAGGGCTTCGTCTGGTTCTATTTTTTTTTTTTTTATTTCTCGTTGGCATTTCTTTTCTTTTTTTTTTCGAGCAAAAAACAAAAGAAATCCGAAAGGGCAAAAACCAATCACGCCCAATAAATGCAATAACGCATCTCGCATATTGTTTATCATTAGAAATTAAGTATATTATTTGTTATAAATATTTGTCTTATACAATTGGAATGAAAAATTGTTTCGAAAAAAAAAGATTTTTATTTTAATTAATAATAAATGTGAATAATATTTTTTTTTGTTGGAAACAAGTTTTGTACGATAGCGAGATGCGTTTCGATAAGAAGAAGAAAAAGAAAGAAAGAAAAAAAAGAGAAAAAAAAAAAGAAAGGTAAAAGCAAAGGAAAAAAGATATTTTGAAAGGAAAAAGAAAAAAAAAAAAAAGAGAGAAAAAAATAATCACAGCAGAGAAATTAATTTGATTTAAGGGATATACGTATAGATTTATACTTTACATATATATATGTATATAGATTAAAAACATGTGTTTTTTAATGCGTGTACGTGTGCGAGCGTGTAAAAAAATAGACTGTACTCAACTATATACTTCGAAATGCAATTATAATGCACGTAGGACGTTTATAACTTTTCTTTTTTTTCTTTTTGTTCTTGTTTCGTTATTCTTGTTGTTGTTGTTGTTGTTGTTGTTGTTCGTATTCTTCCGGTTATCGATCGCAACGTTCGTTTAAAAAATATTGTTTCACATTATTTTATAATTTTGTCGCCCTATGATTATTATTTTTCGTTGTATATAAGTTTTAAATAATATTATAATATGATTACGTGTGTGTTGGAAAAATTAGGTTGAAAATATTAAATATAGGAAGAAAAAAAAACAACGATGGTACGATCGATTTCCATATTATTTGGTAACATGCTATACCATTTTCTACTATATTATTATGTATATTATGTCAATGGGATTGTAACTATAATATATATATATGTAATCGATGATGAATTATTATGTTAACGCGTATATAACATAGTTTATTAACTCACTTGTTGTAGAGTACTATGTCGGGACGCCATATGTGATCCGAGGGTACGTGTAACATTTGAACCCCGCCATATTCCTTCGGCTCCCATCGTAGCTTGTAGTCGTACCATGACTTGAAACAACCAATACAACAAATATAAACATATTATTGGTCCACTCCGAAATAAATTACTCTTCTTCTTATATATATATATAATAATATATTTATTTTTTATTATTAATTTTTGTTTTTCACGTGAAATATTTTCATCTTCATTCTGTGTATATTAAGGGGTTACACGGGTTTGAGACTTTCAAACAAATTTTTTTTTTTTATTTTTTTTTTTTCAATTCTACATCTCATCTAGAATATTGTATTCAATTTTCAAGTCGATAGGAGTAGTAGTTTTAAAGATAGAGCCCTGGGAAGTTCCACTCTTTAATGGCTCTTATACCAGCACTCAAATCTTTAAACGCGTTTTTCTTAAAACGCTTTTTCTCAAAACGCTTTTTCTAAAGTCGGTTGTCAAGATTTCTCGAAAACTATTTAACCGATTTTGATGAAATTTGCTACACGTCTTCGTGATACTATTGACAAGGACTTG